GCAAACTGACACGCCCCGGTCGGCACATGTCGTCGCTCGGCGAGATGCGAGATGCGATTTCAACGAGCAGAAGAAACGAGCAATGAGTCCGTCCATCGAAGGAGGACTGAACTCGTGAACGATTATATGCGTCCATCACCCGTATCTCGACACCAGAAAGCACCGCGCATCTTCACCGCAACCCCAGGTTTGCTAGGCTTACCTGGCAGCATCTGTTGTCTGCGCAGGGCTGAATTGTTCACGAAAACCTCTTTGGTGTGATAAGAGCTGACCTGCTGAAATTTAAAGCTCCTGCTTGAGCACCCCTTACAGCACCATGAGCAACAGAACTGTTGCTGGCTGCGCTGAAGCGGCTGAAGTGCCATGCATCATACTTGCTTGACATTCATCAAGCTGTTAAGGTTGAACTAGATGTGTTCAGCATCAATGGGGAGGGTGGTCAGCAGTTCTCGCCAAAGAGTTTCCGCTTAGTAACCGCTTAGTAGCGCGTACTTGCAATGGCCCTCTCTTTGGCACAACGTCCACGCGCTTTGGAAGTGCCAAGCCCGCACAAATGTGGAACTGTTGGATGGAAACAAAGGCGTGCGGGAGTTTAACTTTAACTGCAAAGCTTCATCCACCTCCCCTAAGAAAGATCATCTCCAATGAAGGAACCCTCAAACGATGTCCCCAGCCGCAGTGGGCAAAGGAACAAGCAAATTGCCTTCAGATCTTGTCTTCTCAAGCGTTGTGAACTTCTCAGGTGCCGTCAAAACGGTGTCCTCTCTCGTTGATGATGGTTTGGCCGCTGGAGCATCTTCCCTGCCAACCCAAACAAGCACGTGCCATGCCACTCTCATGATCAAGAATACTGACTCATGCAGGCTCCTAACTTCGAGATGTCTGATTAATGGCCCTGGCTTTGCATCATGCGCCATGTGTAGAACCGCGAGGTCTGTCTTCCCCTAATACTCCATGGGCAACCCCCAGCACCCACAGAAACACTTCCCACTATGCACAAAACATCCGCCTCGCAGGCTCTGAGACAAACTCCGGTCTGCTCAATCGCTCTGGCGTGGGTTGCCATCTCAAAGCTTCCGGTGCATTCGGTGGCCCAGTGACCAAGACCATTGGTGGCGCCGTGGGTGGCAACGTGGGTGGCTTTGGCCACGCTGCAGTCACCGTTGGCCAGGCCGTGCTGGTCTCTGTGAGGATGGGCCGTGGGGTCTCTGCTCTGGACGGCTCCGGCTTCCAGGACTCTGTGGCTGGGGAGGGCGCCACGAACAGCTCAGAAGCCGCCTAGGAAGTGAAGACTGTGTCTTGTGGCGACTGTGGCGACCAAACTAGGCGACCAAAGAGTCTATGAGGAATCATAGCCATCTGAACAGGTCCGCGCTTGAGTCTCATTGTTTACAGTAGTTCTCGATACCATTCCAAAGATTCGAGTACGGTATAGCATGTTTGTCTATACGTGTGTTCTATGCAGTTTCATGTGTTCAGTAGCGCCCCATATGCTACTGTGTGATATCTGACACTCTCCTCTGCCATGCAAAGGTTTCTCCTTTCCTTAAAGCTGCGAAGGCTACCCGAAGGCCCTCAATGAGTCAACTGATATTCAACCATGAGCTTCTTGCACTGCCATGTCACTTTGGATCGCTGTGCATCTTTCTTCACCTTGTGCCAGTAGCGTTCAAAAACATGCTTTTTCCAACAAAGATGCGTTATCCAATGCAATTGCATATGCAGGAACAAGTCCTTATATACTTGTGGTGGTTGCTGGAACATTGGGGCTAGCCAGTCCAGCACCTATATTTGCCAATTGCCCCATCTTGTTTAGTTCGACGGTGGTCAAGTTTTTTGCACCCAAAACTATGGACCCCAAGTGCTGCACGCCTTGGCTGCAGGATCAAGGATGACCGTGACCACGAGGCAAGAGATCCTTAAATGTATCACGGAAAACTGCAACGGCACCATTCCAGTTTCAGACCAAACTGCAAGATCACCAATCACGCACTCCAAAAGCCACAGGCCTTTTTACGACTATCCAAGTCCGGACCTGGACCCCGCAAGCCACAAATGATCTTTGCGGCTTTGAGAGCTGCAGTACGATCAGGACATGGCGCATATCCATGGGTGGTTTTGCTGCCGAGGCTCGTGAAAAGCACGCAAAGCATTGCTATGGCCAAATTGCATCCAAGCAGTCTGCGGCATTCGCCTGTCACTCGGACAAATCAATGCTGGGGTTGAAATAGATCGCCACAACAAACGCGAGCGTGCCAAATTGCCAAAGCATGCCAAAGCTGGTGCTCCCCTCCCCCTCTACCATCCTATACTCTCTACCTGGCCACCATATCTTGCACGGCATCTTGCATCCATTCAATGCCATTCAAACCCATCGTTTATAACGGGTTTTAAGAAATGAAAATGTAAATATCGTTTCCCAAACTGGGCTCCTGCAATCTCCGTCTCGACCGGCGCGTAGGTGTTGTGCAGCCGCCCGGCGGGTGGAGACATCTCCCGCGGCGATGCCATGGGTCGGGCCCAGGACCGGTACGCCACGTGATCGTCTCTGGGACAATGCAGATGTTGCGAGCATCTCTGTGACTTGGCTCTTGCATGCGTGTGATTGCTTAGGTTATGCGAGTGCCCGCTTACTTCTTGGACATTTTTTGGTCATGTAGATGACTGACTCCTTTGGCCTCAAAAATGTCAATGAATCCTTGAATGTCAATCTCTCCGACCTTTCACCGAGACAAAGATCGCACAAAGTCACCAAGCACATTCCATCAATGGTCCGTTCACAGGCAGGTCTTCCAGGGTAAGACTGATTGCAAGGGCCTACAATGCGGGCACCGCGCATTCGTACTGAATGCATGCAATGCGGGCAGGACGGAAAGATCGGAAAGAAGTCCAACTCTACAGGACACATGCCGACGCAAACCCCCGTCGCCCTTCCCTCCGTGCGCCTGCAACGCAAAGGAAACTTATCGCAGGAGTCAGCGAATGCAGCCCAATTCTCGAACCTGCAGGGGTTTGCGGCCCTGTCTCGTTTGCTGATTGGTTTCATGATGTTTCGTGCACGGATGCTGGATTTGAGCCTTGACTCGGATCGAGGGGGTCTCTCTCTCTCTCTCTCTCTTCTCTCTCTGTCTGGTGGGAGGCTGTCTCTATGGCAAGTGCGACTCTCCGCCCACCTGTGCTCGATCATGATATCCTTCACATCGACCTGACACATGGAGAGCCGGAAGTGGGTAGACCTCGAAATGGACCCGGCCAACGCCGCGCAAAAACACTAAGTCCAGTGTGGACCAAAAATTACCTAAATGATCAAAATGGTGACAAGATGTGACGAGATGTGACAAGATATGACCGAATGTTCAAAACAAGGTCCTCAACGGAGCCGCATGGCATGGAGCCACGCCTTTCTACGTTGTGCCTCTTTCACCAGCTCCTGGTATCTGTCCTGCGGATTTGTACGGTGCCGGAAGACAGGAGAAAAGAAGGCAGGATCTACAGTCTACAGCAGTGCTCCTGAAGGTGGGGAATCAAGCACTTCAACACGAGCCACTACAGTTGCACTCTGTTCTCCCAACTGCTTCTGGCCTGAATCTTTCGAGTATGACATACTCGATTCCATCTGAGCAGGGCAAGGAGCACGGCTCAAACAGGAACATCAAGACTGACAATCAACAGATATCAACAGCCATTTCTTTTGAGGGGTCATGCATGGCCCCCCATGTCCTTGTGCTGCCTGGCATTGTGGACACTAGTGCAACTTAGTACTGTACGCTTCAGAGGCATGACCCAGGCCTCCGGAAGTCTTCCAACTCCAGGGTCCGATTCACATCCACCATGGCTCGAGTGGCAAATGGTCTCAGTATGTTCAATGCAATGACGAGTTGAAGAGTGAATTGTACCTTTAAATTGGCTAGTGACCAAGGCCAACCACGAGGCTTTAAGATCAATATAGGTCAATGTAGGTCTAATTGTGAAGCCGATCTCTATGGAGAGGCGTCTGTGAATGTAGCTAAGTCGGTAAAGTGGTGCGGCTCTTCGTTTGCAACATCTCTTTGCTTATCGACTGTTGCATGAAACCCGGCTCATCGTGTTGCTTTGAGCCCCGCAAGGCGGTTCTTCCAAAATATCCAGGGCAGCTCCCAAAACCCAGCCTTGGTATAGGCCTTCCATGGCAGAGGCAAAGCAGAACATCAAATGCGTTTCCCCCTACTCTCTACATTGAACTAATAATACGTATCTAATGATAATGAACTACCAGGAGGCCGCGTATGGTCGCTTTCCACGGAAGTTGGCCATCTGGCATCCATTGCTTGTTGGAGGAAGCAACCGCTTGTGGCAGCTGGCACGTCAGTGATCCTTTCCAACGGACGAATTGGCTCGCAAGTCGGTGAGGTGAAACACTCCTTGAGCATTTGCCCCCTGAAGCATTGGATTACATGCTGTCTTGTGGCTGGACATGTAGCTTCGCCCATGGAGCATTTGCTCTGATGTTTGCTTGATAGAGTTGGCTCAATGAACGGGAGAGCTGGTGGGGTCGGAAGTCATAAGATGCGAGAAGCTCATCTTCAGCTCTTTAGTCTTGGTGGCCGGCCTGTTTCAGCCCGTGGTGAAACTCTCCTACTTCAGAACTTCAGGCGTTTAGTCGTGCGGCTCGTCATTTAGACCGAACTCCTGCGCCCAAGGACAACTAAGAGCCTTCCCTGGTCCAACTGAGAATCTAAGTTATTGCAACTTATGATATTCCAATGGAAGACGGTTTAGGACCTAGTTTAGCAATTTGGCCTGGGAATGTCAGGCACCTAGGAGACAAAAAGAGCACTTCGGAAACTTCAGAGCGCCCTTTGCCAACATCTCAGCCGAACAAACTGGCGATCCTTGAGACGATTGATCAGCGGCGGCTTGCTGGTATCCCTATCCCAGCTATTGTGCGTCACCTCGGCAATGCCACAAAGCAGGCGCGAAATACTCAAGCTCGTACGTACGGCGTTACCTACGTGACAATGTCACACGGTTTGCACACGTTTGCAGCGAATCAATGTGGCACACCTTGGGCACAAATGGCACATCCTCGCCTCGATGCGCTGACTCATCTTGTCGAGCGTCTCCTGGTGCAGAGAAGCGCGTAAAAAAACAACACCTATCACCTGTCTGCCAAGGAGTTGAGCATTCACGAGGTTCTAGGTTTCTGGAATTAAAAACAATGGAGTCAGGCGTCCGGGACAGTGAGATTGACATTCCCAAAAGCAAGCAGGAGGACACTCTTCGTTTCATGCCATGACAATCCTCAAAATGTAAAGCAACTAAAACCAAGGTCAAGGAAAATGCTTTATCTATCTGTATCTCCTTCTTGGCTGTACCTCACATACATTGATTGACTGTCTACCCCGCGCTCCTTGAGCATGTCAGCAAACTCGAAGGCCATGGTCTCCATCTTGGAGGAGAGTGAGGCAATTTCCAGATCCTGCTCCACAAAAGGAACGATCAAGGTGTTGGGTTGGGTGCAAGTCCATGAACTGCCAACGAAAAGGGCACCCACTGACTGAGGTCAGGCAACATGCATACATACATTCACCAAATTGGGTTAGTCCTTCTCAATCACTATATATCTCTGTGAATGCTAAGCGCCTTCTGCCTCAGGATTTCTTCCTTCTCGATTCTGACCTGCTCTATCTCCTGGCAATCAGACTGGATCCCATGGGCCATTCAAACTCTTTCGTGTTTTTCCTAGTCCTTTATTGGACAAAAAACTTATTGGAGGCTATGGCGAGTGGGCGAATGGAGCACGCCAAGAGAAAGAATGTTGGAAATGAATCGCACCCCTGGTCTACGGCTCCGAGTTTCACGTTGACGAAATACTGTGTGACTCTGTGTGATATTGTAACGTATAAGGCTGCCGCGTGCATTCTGAACCTCCTCTCTCCAGCTCTTCAAGGCCAGCTCGCCTTCGTCACAGACTCGATCTCGGCTTTTGCTTCCGACACCTGGTCATGCTTTTCCTTCCCGGTGCATGTCGAAACGCTGACCCCTTATTGAAACCTTGAAGAACCCCACAGTCCATTCAGCCAGCATGGTGGATTGAGTTCATGAATAGTTAGGATGGTCACAAACGCTGACCCCCCAATGAAGTGAAAACTCGCATCTGCAAGGGGCCTTTTTCTGCAGCGCATCGATAGTCTCGTTGAAAGATTCCTGCACATCAATTACCAAGGAGGTTCTGCACTTCTGTGCATCGTGAAATGCGAAGCTGCACAGTTACAAACCAGGCAATTAAGCCATGCAAATGGTTTGTTGTGCATATGTATTAAAAAATATATTGTTCAATGTTGTTTATATTGTTCAGCGCCTAGCTGCGCATGGCAGCGAAGCGAACCAAGAAAGGTAGTCTAGGGTTAGTTGTCAGAAAATTGAGCTGCGCTGTCAGAATCGGTTCTAAGAACATGTCTCTTTACATTCCCCCAGCCGCCAGCCTGCATCTCCCTGTACTGCCGGCTCATTTCCTTAGCATTGACACTTCAACGCTCTGTTATGAAGTTCGTTGTTCCCCCAGCCCCCCAATCACGGTACCCCCCATCATGGAACTATACTCTTGACTGATGATATGAGCAATGGACAAAATCTATAACTAGAGGAACCTATTGGGGATGGTCATGGTCGGCCCCCCTTCCCAATTTACACGCTAAAGAAACCAGGGGGGCATGATTGCATGATTGCATGCAAAACCCCAAAAAAAGGCGAAGAAGGTTTGTGAGGCGTCCCACGTCCATCAACCAACCAACCAGCCAACCAACCAACCAACCAAGCTATCAATCAAATCACATCAAATCAATTTATATAATGCAAGTCAATTCATGCATGCATTCATTCATTCATTAAATCAATCACTCGATCACTCACTCATGCATCCATTCATGTATTCAATCAATCAATCAATCAATCAATCAATCAATCAAATCAAATCAAATCAAATCAAATAAAATCAAATCAAATCAAATCAATCAATCAATCAAATCAATCAAATCAACCAATCAACCAATCAACCAATCCACCAATCAACCAATCCACCAATCATTCAATCAATCAATGAATCAATGAATCAATCAATCAAAACAATCACCAACCAACCAACCACCCACCCACCCAGTCAGTCAGTCAGTCAGTCAGTCAGTCCCTCCGTCCCTCCGTCCCTCCGTCCCTCCATCCATTTCCAAAGCCGCAAAAAAAATGTCCCAAAGAGGCTTCCCCTCAGTGAGACCGACTGACACACACTGGCACCGCCGCAAAAGCCGCACCGACGCACCGCCCGGCAGAGAGCTGTGTTCTGTCCAGTCTCTGCCGTGTTTTCACGACATCGCACTGCCTCATCCTCGAAGGATTGATCAAGCTCGGCGATTCGCTTCCTCCCAGGGGGGTGGCTTACTCGCAGCTTGGTTGGCCAATGGAGATTCACAGCGGTGCGGTGGAGATTTCATCATCATTCATGTCACGATTCATGCACCATGACGGCCTCAAATCATCCTCGGACTTCCGGCAACCAAGGATCTGCTCGTCCTTGATCATGATCCTGCAGGCGAAAGGTGAGTGTATGGGGCCGATGGCAAGCTTTCAACTTCCACTAGACAGTGGCTAGTGTTGAGAAGTTGTGTGCAAGTTGCTACTAAAGGCAGGATTCAGGTGCATCACCTCCACAACAAGAAGAAACTTCTATGTCGCCCACTTCTGTGTGCCTATATTGGAGCACCAGGATCTTTCGCTGCATGTAGCCATTTTCCTTACAACACGGCTTGGGCGGCTTGGCTGAACCACTGATCCACATCGAGCACTGCTCAGCCGTCGAAGCCTTTGGATCTAGAACAGGAGACTTTGTCTTGAGAAGCTCCTACATCTCAGAGCGTGGGCCTGTTGATAGTTGATCTCATCGCCACCTTTCTTGTCGCCCATGTTCCTCAGAGAAGGGCCAAGCAACAATGTACAGAAAATCCTACTTGAGGGTGGCCAACTGCTGCAAGGACACTAGCTGTTGCGGTGATACAGCCCCGCCGGGCAGGCAGGGAACAATGCTGTTGAGCCAAAACCCGGAAGCACACATTATTGCTCAAAACATCTTAAAACCATTCTCCATCTGCAACCGGAGTTCCAGGATGGCTTTGAATGCTTCGACGCTGTTCCAAGAAAGACGTATGCACCTTGATTCTTATCTGCAAGTTGTGTCTATCAAAATAGGTGTCGCCGTCCGGTTCCTTGGTCGAAGCTTCTCATCGCTCTGTTCTCGTCCCTCCATGAACAGAGAGCTTGGCACACATGTTTTCCTGCAACAACCTGGTCTCTGCAGGGATGTGGGCACCCACCTGAGGTGGAGAGACGACGAAACTGGCAGAACGAAGAGACTTGGATAGACTCGGATAGACCTTTCTTTCGTCTTTTAAGTTAGCGGGCTGTCACAGTCAAGCTCACAAGTGAGCAAGCAGCAGCAAAATCCGACACATCTGCTGGAAGTGCAGGTGCCTTGCTCCAGTGTATGTTTCGGCTGGATGCCTCTTGGCAGTCTAGAAGTCCCAAGCGGGTTTGCATCCTTGGTCAGGGGTCACACCATTCCACTTGTTCAAGTCTGCATGTGCCACAATGGGTCTACTCAATTCAAAACTTAGTCAACGCTCATCACAATAGGTTAGTTAGCAGGAGCCCTGCACTCTAGGACAGACAAATTCGATCTGAACATCGTTACTGGCCAAGGATCAGTGGTGGCTGTGACCCATCCAGGCAGAGATTTGTAAAGGAAGCATCTACAGGGCCCCACTGCCTAGGTACTGGAGACGATGCACCACAGAACGGCCTTCTAAATAAATGACCCCCCCCCCACACACACTGTCGCGATCCACTTTTGCGTTTGCAAGTTTGTACCTTTGGTATGATCTTGGGTGACTTGCGTGATGTGGCCACTTGGTGTCCTTAGGGAGGCGACAGGTGGTCCGCGTAACCCCAAACAAGCGCAACCACTTGGTCAAGGCCATTGATAAGACTGCAAGGAAAAGAACTTGCTGTTGCCATCAACGAAACTTACATATCCAAATAGAATCGGAGACAAGCTCACCCCTCCCGCAGTCCAAGCGTCAGCCAAAATGCTTGATTGGTGTTCTCAACTCCATATGGGGAATCTTTGCCCTCCATGGAATAGCACACCTTGGGAGAAATCACAGCGCGCTCAAGACATCTAAAGGCCTCTGAACCCTTTTGAGGCATGATGAGTCATAACTTAAGCCGTGAGTCGTGACCTCCAAACTACGATAATTTGTGACTAAGTCGAAGGACCTAGGCAAGTCATCAGCACCATATAGTACCGTAGTATCACTGTTGACTGTTGATCCATGTTTCCGTCGTTGCCAGTCCTCAACGCATGGCAATCCTCCTCTGCCGAGCGAGCAACATACATTAGCGGCTTCTGTCCGTTGTCGGTGTCCAGACCTCGGCAGCCACCGCGACGACGACAACCAGCCACCAGTCGTCGCAGCTATGGACACACCCAAAAAAAGACAGCTGAAGTGAAAATGAACCAGCTGATTTATAGTTCAAGATCAATAACAGAGCGGCGTAGACTCTTGACTCTTGACACCTCTGGATTCCAAGTGAGTTGTTCCTTTGTTCCTCTTTTGCACGTCTGCTACTAAATGATTGATGGTCTCATTCAGCCATTTTTTCTGATACTGTACCGATCTTTCCTATTAAACTGACATCTGCTCAAACTGCTAAATTTATCCTGAGACATCTCCAATGTTCCGAACAGGGTCTCCGACAAGTGGTCAGCTTGGAAGCTGGCTTAAGGCCAAGCCTGGAAGTCGGCTCAGACGCGGTACTCAGGCACTGGAAAAAAACTGGTCAAAAATGGTCAAACCAGGGAACGCTACTAGGGGCTCCTGGCCTTACTACTAGGAGCAAGAACGCTACTAGGAAGGCCCTCTCAGCCCCCGAGACCTCAAAGAAGGCTTCGCCCATTGCCACTGCTGCTCTTTGTCCTGGCCGCTCGAAGGACCGAAGGGCAGAGCGCTCAAGGCGGATGGGCTGCTCAATTAAAATATACAAATAGTGTCTTTGTGGGGGGAGGTGGGAGTTGATAGAACAAAATGTAAAAAGAATAAGAGAATGCATAATTCACCAACATGCAACACATAGGTTTTTTTAAAGGGGAGGTAGGCCGCGAGTAGAGGTAGGAAGTAGCTTAGTATCTAAAGGTAGCTAGTAGTAGCTAGCTAGCTACTAATAACTGGACGCAGGAATAGCTCGCGCTAATGACTTGGTTCGTAGACTTTTAGGGAAACTTAACCTAATGCATCCCACATAGGTTCGAACAAACTGCAAATAACGCACGAGCTAGCCTGGCAAGCAACCATCTTACGCCGACCTCACCTTAATCTGTTCGACCGCTTTCGGGGCCTCTGCAATAGTGGACCAGTGCCTCTTTCAGTGGCCTGGTGCGTCAACTCAGTCGCGTCGACTTGGACTCCTCAGGATCGCAAGTGGCCAAACGCGGAGGCTGTGGCTCTTCGCCCAGCACTGCCATGAGGCAGTGACCTGGCTGCGCTGTACGAGTGATGATCGTCGTCCCCAAATTACATGGCAATGAATATCCGGAGGGAATTGGCTAAACATACCGTCATGTGACGGAAACATATATTTATATCCCTGAAACCACCAGTTGCATCAAGCAGACTTGCTTGTGCCGCAGGCAGCCCGACCTTTATGTCCACACAGTTGAGACATGTTGAGACTGAGACTACTCACGAATAGACCCAAGAGTTGCACACAACAATCTGAAGGCGCAATCAATGCTGCTGCAGTCGCCTGTTGCTAGCACAAGGCGGAAGAAGTCGGTTCCTTCGATGTCCTGACTATATAGTTTTCACTATGCATGCTGCAAATTCCGGGATTCACGCCCAGCTTGTTTCGATTCTGACGCTCCAAGTATATCGGCACACGTGCCACAAATGACGCATGATGCACGTATAACACCTGCACATGGAACCTATGACTCCTTGGCTTTCATGGCAAGTCCTGCACTTGGAACCTCTGCTCCGCCACAGCGTTCTGGCCCTCGAAACGGCACGAGGACCAAGTGGCCTCCCAGGATGAACCCGGAATGGGCCTTTGTAGCAACCGACCGGCACATGGGAATCGCATGGGAATCGCATCAAGTGTGGGGCTCCCTGGAAACAAAAGCAATAACCGACCATGACTCATGACCAACCTCTGGAATCGATGTTGCCGAAGGAAGTTGTCATCTCCAAAAGCCCGTACCACGACAAAAAAGTTCAGCCTGCTAGCCAGGCTTGAGAACAGTCACGGGTCAGCCGCGTGCCGATTGGATATCCGTGAGGACTTGGTAAACCATGCTTGCAGTGATTTGGGTAGAGTATTATCTACAAATAAATCAGCAGGTTCAGTTTGTATAAAGGACAATATTTGGCCTTGCCTCATTGGTTGGCAACTCTTCTGCTTCAGCATCTGATGGCACCAAGCAGCCTTCCCATTGATATGTTCATTCAAATCAGCCCGGTTGGCTCCTACTCCAGAAACTTGTCAATTTCATTAAATGTCTCCAGTCTGCCAAAGGTCTTTCCGTCTTTCAGTTCCACCTGAAAACTCGCCGCCAAGCAGCCCCATTCCTCGCTGAAAATCTGGCCATCCTCGCGCAGTGTCCAGATTTGGCCTCGCGCAGTGTCCATCTTGCGCCGTCGTGGATCCAAGCTGAACAGCAACAAGGGCATCGCTACTAGTAACAAGTGCATTACTACTAGTAGCTAGAAGCTACTAGTAACAAGAAGCTGACTGAGCTGAACAGTCTGAAGGAGTCCTCGCTAGGTGCCCTGACTGTTGGGGGGCCGCCGATGTATACACCTGGAGCAGGGCAGCGCCAAAAAGTGTTGAGAGATTGAACATTCTTCGGATGCTCAGGCGAAAAGCTATCGCGACAACAATCGGAACGAGCATGTATGAACTTCTTTATGCACTAATGGTTCTGCCGCACCCTGAATATCCCTTGTAGGTTACCAGGTTGCCTTAGAAGTTGCCCTATAAGGCTACGCAAGTTGCTCATTTCCAGGTATTCGCTTCATAAGTCTGCAAATCCGATCGACATGTTGCCTAGCTTTTTCCCTATGACCCAAGGATCAATACATCTGAACAGAGGCGTACCCATACGGTCCAGGCTTGCCCAAGCGGCCTGCCAAAACAGTAACAATGCTCGGTGGGATTCAACCCTGTGGAATTGTTATGGACAAAGAAGTTGCTGTAGCCATTAAAGTTTCAACAAGTAGTAGCAAGGGCTCCTGGCATCGCTACTAGGAGCAAAGGGCATCGCTACTAGGAGCAAGGACGCTACGAACGGGGCTCAACAAGTAGTCACTAGACTGTCGTGCAATACATCGGGGAGTGATACATTCTGTGAAACGACGAGATATACTGCAAGAGGCAGATTGTCCACATTCAACAAGCTCAAAACCTGAGCTTCTGGCCATCTAAACCTGAGCACCGCTGCGCTTATGAAATGCCTCTGCACTTGTTGCATCTGTATAGTATAGAGTCGAGTCTAGAGAAACGCACCTAGAAGCACACCACCTAGTCTATATGGCCTTGGGAAACATGTCTCAACCTCCAAACAATTGTGTTGAAGCAGCTGCTACTTTGCTCTAATCTCATCCCATCTCCCTCTCTCTCCACATCATTGTCCATCCAGGGCCGTCCATGCTGCAGCCAAGACACAATAGCTGTTGGATCCTACCAAGGCCTTGTATGGTCCAATCCCACTGCAACATTCCGGCGTCCCGTCATCCTGATCCTGGACTGCAAATTACGAGCATCTCACTGAAAGCGAGACATCTGAGCTGCACAGGGTCTTTTTGGTTGCTCTTTCATTTCTTCGTGTTCGCAAACAGTTGCACCTCTGTACG